TGATGAGGCTGCCCCTTTTTCCAATTTTGGGCCTTTCATGCTGCGGCCCACTAACACTAATTGGGTTCTCAAGGCAAGATGCACAAAACACACTTCGGGCCTCTGGCATCATGTGATGAAGTTTGATCCTGCTGAAAGAAGCCATTTACATATGCCCGTTCTTGGTGAAAATAGCCAATGGGAATCGGCTTTTTGTTTTGACACTCGGGATTTTACTAGTGACCCCGGGCAAATTTTTGAGCCTTATAAAGAGCTGGAATTTGAGCCATTTTATGATGGTCCGCCCGTTTTCTATGAAGAGCCTCCGGTGCCGGAGACGCATAGGGGCGGCACTTTGCGCTCCACGTGGGACATTTCCACATTTGACCATTCTCTCGAAAAATCATCGTTGGTACCAAATTTTCGGGACATCTTAGCCAAATATAGTTTTTTTGGAGCCGAAACCGATGTTCAATAGCTGGTGGACCATTTTTCGATTGCCTATCCCAAAGTCTCCCAACAAGGGGATGCTTAGCCTTTGTTATGGATTTGAGCGCGGCAAACGGTGTGGCATATTTTGTGTTACTTCAGTTGTTTCGCCTTTGCGTATGGAAACGTGTCAATGTGCCTTCACAGCAGTTCACTCCTTGGCCGAGGTTATGCTTATGTTCGCAGTTGTTGGAAGACGTTCAACATTCGTGTTCGATCGAGGGAAATGTCGGGGGTATTCTTGTCATGTGGACGACTCCAACAGGTACGAGTCGGATTCGAGGCCGAATCCTGCTCAACTGGGGGAGAATGATGAGGATATACGAGGATAAATTATTATTATTATTATTATTATTATTATTATTATTATTATTATTATTATTATTATTATTATTATTGTTGTTGTTGTTGTTTAATAATTAGTAGCTTGAAGAATAAGCTATGGTTTAATATAAGGGCTTTATTTAAAGGGTCTTATGTTTTGTTATTAGGCAGTAGAATTTGATGAATGAAAATAATTGATCGTGATTTCTTTTGGGAGAGTATTCCGTGTTCTGGAGAGAGTATCTCCTTTTATCCTTCCCATTCGTATGCTTTCGCTACATCAGCTTTATTTATTTGTCTGATTCTATAATAACATCGATTTAGTAAAAAAAGATCCCATAAAATCGGTGAAGTCAAAAATTGTACGTAAAGTTTATCTATACTAAAAAAATGCAAATTCAAAATTGCTTATCTAATTTCTGTTTAAAGCATTTTATTTAATATTTATTTTAATGAAATATTGATAGGATTGCTGGAACTGAGTCAATTTTGAAATCGCGTTGTTTGGCATGAGAGGATTATTCGCATTCTATATCTGTTTAAAGCATATTATTTAATATTATTTAATTAATTAATTTAATATTTAATTGTTTTATCCATGACATTAGTTTTGTCAAAAAAATTGAACAAACAAACAATAAAAAGGCAGAGGATTAATTACCTTCGACTTACAAAAAAATTATGGGTGTACGTAAATATTTAACAATGTTGTTTTAAGTTCCTTAAATAATACTATAACTATGCTGTTGAAATATAATATGTTTTATGGGTGATGTGAATATGTTGTTTAAAGTTCCCAAAAACAATTTTTTTAAAATTATGTTGTTAAAAGTTCCTTAAATACTAATATATTTAAAGTATATCCATGCTGTAATATATTAAAGTCAAAACAATGTTGGAAGGCTTTTGAATTATGTAATTTCAAATTATTTAAATTAATTAATTTAAATATTTAATCTAATTAAATCTTCAATCCATGA